CTTGTAGGAAATTTTGCTGAACAATGTTATTTACCATTTCTAAAAGAAACAGAAAAAAAATTTTTTTGTTCAGTCAAAGTAAAAATAAACTAGAAGACATTGCCTTTTACAATGAACTAGGTTGAGAACCGTTGAATGCTGGGTTTCTCCCTAGTTACACGCCAAGTAATGTCCACAGCTAGCTTGTCCGCATCCTTTGTTAAGCAATTAAAAACATTTAGAAAAAACAAAGCTATATTTTTAAAACACACAAATTTGATACAAAACCGCACTGTTCACAGACAAATCGCGCAACGAAATGACGCTCGGTCGAAAAATAATAGCGTGGTTCAAAAGGAAGACCCAAAAAATTTTCCGAAAAAAAGGGGTAACGGAAAATTACCGCGACCTATTTTTATCGCGTGTTTTTTCCCACTAATTTTTATAAAATGTGTACTATAGTCTTTCTATCGCGCAGAAGTGTCACAGAAGTTACTTCTTCACAATCCCGACCCTTTTTGTTTTTGTAAAATTTTCTATCATCCAGAAGTGACTTAGAAATGACTTCTACGCGATGTATGTATATTTTGTTTTTGTTAAATGTGTTCTATCGCCATTCTATCGCGCAGAAGTGTCTCTGAAGTTAATTTTTGTTTTTGTAAAATGTGTTCTTTCGTCTTTCTATCGTCCGGAAGTGACTTAGAAGCCGTTAATCCTAGCATTTTTAGTCGCTGTATCTGCGAGATCGTTTCGTTTGCCGTTTTTTTTATTGTTATAAGTACCTTTAAAGAAATTTGTGTCAACTGAAATCTTTCTTGTGAACAGAGAATAAGGACAAATAGGAGCAATACTATCCAGGATATTTTTAAATTCAGCATAAACTCTACTGTAACTGGTATTTTTGGCTACAAAGGAGTTTGACAGAAGCGACGCAGATGGTAGTCCATGAGCGAACGTTTTGGCCAACTCCTTCGCTGTAGCGAATTTAATCCTATAAGCTGGAGGTAGTTCAGCTGCAAGATTTTAAATAATAATAATTGGAGTCCATTTAACTAGTCCTAAGGCTTTTCTAAGGTGAAAATTAGCATGCTTATATATGTTGTTTTGTACTGATTTTGAAATGTTTGAAAAAGAGGAGCAGGCATATTCATATCTAGTTCTAATAAATGCTTTATAAAAAAGTAATGACTTTCTTGGATGTACTCCTAAGAGACAGCCACTGAGCATTTGAATAAACATATTCGTTTGATTAGATTTAGAAATCGTTTTATTTACATGCTGAACAGACGAGTTATTTGTTCTTATGACTCTACCTAAATAATTTATGCTATTTACATTTTTAAAATAATATTATTGCACAAGACACTTAAAGGTTTTTTCCTTAGATTGTAAGAAGTTGAATAACTCCCCACAAATATAAGCAGCAGCAGTAGCAGATGGCCGGCCGCTTACCAGGTACGCGGCGAATTCACGTAGTAACGGCGCGGCGAGGAGATGATGGAGAACGAGAGAGCTTGGAGACCAAGGATGGAGAACGAGAGAGCTTGGAGACCAAGGATGGACAGCGTGAGAGCTTGGAGACCAAGGGTGGAGATTGAGAGAGTTTGGAGACCAAGGATGGAGATCCAGAGAGTTTGGAGACCAAGGAGCGAGAGAGAATGGAGACTTGGCGGGCACGGCAAGAGTGCAGTGTGCAAAAGGGGATAAAGAAACTCCACCGGTCCTTGGATTTTCCCGCGAACTTTGGACCGGGAGAAGAAGTGCCACATCTCGGCAGTCCACTGCAGTGGAGCGGCACACAGAAGTGCCACAAGCATCACGGGAATCAGCGGGACGGCAGCAGTGGGCAGAGCATCGGTTGGAAGCGGTACGTGAAGGACAAGTGGGTGAACCAGGAGGCACGGACTTTGAACCCGAAGCGGAGAGATCCAGCGGGTCGTGCGCAAAAGGGAAATAAAGGTTCCCGGAGTCTCTATATAAAGACGCAGAGCGCTGGCAGCTGGATCAGTCGATCACAAGGAGTCAAACCATCAAGATCAATCAGATATCAAAGTGAACAGTTGATCAACCAGATAGTCTACAAGGGAGCAACAGCAAGTCGAGTCGTCAGAAGAGCAGCGCCGTGGGAGCCTACGAGAAGCAAGATTGCTACGTCGAGACGTTCGGGATTGGGATACCAGGAATCTCCGAATTGAGACGCAGGTAGCTGAGGTCCAGAGGGCATCACACGGCTAAGTCAAGGCGTTTGTTTTCCAACTTTGTCACGACCACACCCTGGCGAGTCGCCCGACGGGTCTGTCAGAGACAAGCGAAAGAGGCCTACGACGAAGAGCCGTCAGCTTGGGGAGGAAAATTGTCTGAGACCCAGCGTACCTTGCCCGACCAAGCAGGATCTGGCGTGACGGACGAGCGGTGGATCGACTTGCGGTTTCAAGAGGCGTTCGCCTCGAGAGCCCTGCGATTACCTTCGAAGTTCCCGAACAGCAACCGCACAAATCCCCGAGTGCCAGAACACCGAGCTACTGGTCAGGAGACAGCGCAGAGGACATCGCCAGCAGACATCTCCGGCAGCCACGTTACCATCGCCGGGCGGAGCTCATTGGGGAGCGCAGGAGCGTCGCGGACGTCAAGCATTAGGGTGAAGCCGGGTGGAACGTTCGTCTGCGCTAGGCGTAATGCAAATTGAACTGCAGGCAGCTTCCTGGCGGTAGCCTTGACTGTCAGCGCGATCTAAGCAAAAACCTAGCGGGACGTCCGGGACAGAGCAAGGGACAGGTATTGCCTCGAAAGGCGTTGGTTTGGAGAGCAACGCTTGTTCACCCTAGTCTGAGAACGGTGACGCTTCCCTTAGCCCACAAGGCCGAAGTCTCTGCAAGTCTAAGGCACGACAAGCGACCCCGAGGCAGCGCGGCGGCAAGCGAGCAGAGGCGGCCACTACGAGCGTCCCGAGACACAGGAGCCAGCGGACGTCGAGTCAACGTGTCGACAAGCCAGGAAGAGGAGCACTAGCAGCCGGCGAAACCAGAGCAAGAAGATACCGAAGCCAGCCCAGCCATACACCCGCTGTACTAATGCCACGAGAATAAATCCCACTGTTACCATTTGAAACTAACTAATTTGCTACCCAGAATAGGGATATTGACGGCATCAAATGCATTACTTAAGTCTAAAACAGCTGCGGTAAAGTGGAAACCAAGGGCTTTTAAGTTGGCTAGGTTATCTAACACATCGTTGATGCATTGGGCAGTAAAATGTTTTTTTTCTGAACGCTTAGGATCTTGGTGGCAGAATTTTATTTTTATGAATGTGCTCTTCAATACGCAATTTTATTAAACCTTCTAAGCACTTAAAAGTCACAGATAAGTCTGTTGTTGGTGATAATTGAAGAGTCATCATTTTTTTTGGGAACAGGTATAACCCCTATTTTCCGCCACTGTTCTGGAATAACACCATTGTCTAAAGTAATGTTTAGCAGGGATACCAGTTTTTCTATTTGTTCTAAGGGTAGAGCTAAAAGCATTCTGTATGAAATGTTGTCAAGACCCTTAGCCGAGTCTGGGTTACGAGAATTTAGGAAGTCAAGAAGTTCATGCGCTGAGAAATTTGAGTTGGAATATCTATAAAGCAGATCAGGAGAAAAAGATACGTCAGGACACATCGCAGTGTTGGGTGCTGTGGCTATTTGATTGAGAAAGTCTCTAAGTTCTGAGTTATTGTAGATATTGCACTATTTTACGGTTTAATTTGTTTATAAAGTTTAAGATTTTGGATTTTGTTCCACATATCTTTCAGTGAAGAGGGGTTGGAAGTATCTTCTGCAAGCTTATTGAGGTTTTCTTTTCTCATTTTATAAAAATAGTTGTTATTTTTTATTACTGTTAATATAGGAAAAAGCATCAGATTGTAGTTTGGATTTAAATTATTTTTGTCTGCACACGCTTCTTAATCAAAACAATTTTTTACAGACCTCGTCCCAACACTTTTTTGGAACAGGTATTTGTGTATTTATTTTAATTGAATTGTTAGAGTGTATTGTTTGGGATGAGTTGAAGATGTCTTAAATTAGTTTTTGATGGTTAAATTTAATAATATTAGTCGAAGCAGAAATTTGGTTTATTTCAATTAAGATTGGGAAATGATTTCATGTTTTAGAATTTATTGAGGACCAGTTAGAACAAAGATTGCTACTATTAATGAAAGTGAGATCGAGTGTTGAACTAAAGGATGGGTTATGAGAGTAAGTTGGAGAGCCGTTGTTAAGGCAAAAGAAACTGGAGTGTAAGAGGGAATTTTCTAAAATGCCGCCTCTGGCATCTTGAGTATTATTACCCAAAATGCAGCAATAGTAAACAGATCATCGCAACCTTGTTGAAAAGAATTAATGTCTGTGCTGGGTACAGCATAGACACTGAAAATATTAATATTATTTCTTAAGTTAATTGTACAAATACCAATGATTTCCAAGCTCATATCACAGTTGATTTGTCTAAAAAGTGTTTTTTTTTAAATAAATTCCAACGCCTCCATGTCCGCGCCAAGGAGGTGCTACTGTGAATGTTAGTGGTTAACAGACGAGAGAAGTTACGTCCCGATGGTCTCTCATCTCGCTCTCGGACTGTTAACAGTCTCCACCCCCGCTCTCCTAACATTAGAGTAAGTAGAAGCTGTTAGTTCTAAGTTACCACTGAAAAAAAGCCCACGCAGTGGCTAATAAAGTGAAGTCCTAAGTGAATTGAAGTCTAAGTCAATTTCTGTGCCCTGAAGTATGTTTCTTCCAGGAAATTCTCCACAGCTTGAGGAACCCAGGAAAGCCGCCACCCTCCATTTCATGGTCCATACGAGTTCCAACGTTCAGCGGCGGAGTTTTCCGAGTTCTTTATTTACCAGCCAGATATTTCCCAAGAACCCAATTTTCTTATAACTGTCTGATCGGCCATTTCCATTGTGCATACGATCGCCATATTCCAGCTTCGTTTTCGTATTTGCCATTTCCACATATATTCGTATTCATATACACATACTTCCATTCGCGTTGCACCCTGTGAACATTTCTACAGAGACATTTACAATACAGTCCACATTTTTTCCAAATTCCAAAATTATTACAAATTACAAATTTAAATTACAATTTACACACATATATTTCCGAGTTCCCACAAACACACAAATCATACGCCCATACATACACACATATAACCCTGATGCATGCTTATTAATGTACGCCATCTCAACATATGTACATAAGGGAAAAAGTCACGTAGCGTAACGTAAGGCAACGTAAGCACGGTAATCCACGTACCTTCTTTCGCTGTACACCCTACAAACATTTCGAAAGCGACATTTACATACAGTCCATATTATTTATAATTTCCAAATATAAAAAGGACAATTTAAGCACATATATTTCCAAGTTCCCGCAAACACACATATCCATACGTCCATACATACACACTTATAATCCTGATGCATGCTTATTAATATACGTACATATGCCTGTCCACTGCAACATATGTACATAAGGAGAAACGCACATAAGTTCTTACGGTACACCCTACAAAAATTTCAACAACGATATTTATTAATAACGAAAAAATAACCTGATTCCACCGAACACCACACGATATGCCTTTCCAGAATTTGCATGACATTTATTTCAGCAGCGCTTATTCGCACACACCGGCGGCTCATATCCATTAAATAAAAATAAATAAATATACGTTTAAAAATCTGTTAAAAATGAGCTCTTAATGACCGAATTCGGTTTATCGCAACTCGAGTTAGAAAATAAAAAAGTGCGAAAAACGTTTTTTACACTTTAAAAAAAATTGGTACCATAGAAAAAATTTTAAGTGCCCTTTTCTTAATCAGGGAGATGTATCTTACCGGAAAACAAAGGTTTCCTGAAAGGCGTATTTCATCAATTTTCTTTTGTAAACTGGTGTAATCAGTCCACTTACATTCCGTCTGGGTGCCGGTTACCACCATGCGATACTGAAATATTCCAAGGGGACTATCTGAAATGGTCAACATTTAGGGATCTTTTTACAGCAGTTTATGTCAACAATTCTAGGTTGACATCGGTCGAAAATCTTTTTCATCTCAACGCTAAAACTAGCGGCGAGGCTAAGGCAATCGTAGCCAAGTCCCTTCTCACAAATGAGGGTTTCGATTCAGCATGGGCAGCGCTTCGAGACCGTTTCGAAAATAAGAGACTGCTAGTAAACAGCCAACTCAAACTTCTTTTTTAATTTGAGTTCCGTAAGTTCTGAATCTGGCCAGGCTCTGAAAGACCTAGAGAGCACAATCCAAGGGTGTTTGATAGCGCTGGCTCATTCCAACATTTCCACAGAGAACGTGGACTGTCTCCAGGTATTCCTGTGCGCCAGCAGATTACCAAAACTGACCCCCTCCTTATGGGAGCGTCCCTTTCATTCAAGTCCGACATTCCGACTTGGGATGAAATGAACACGTTACTTAGCGACCGGTACTGAACGCTAGAGGCGATTGAGGATATGAAACCCAGCACCAGCAATCACTCTAACACTATTGGGACTCGGAGCTGGACAACAGATGGCGCGGAAGAGAAGACGAAGCATCCGTGGGACGAGAAGGAAGCTTTAAACTTACAATTTACATAAATAACAAGGAAGAACGCTATAGTCGAGTACCTCGACTATCAGATACCCGTTACACAGCTAATGGGACCAAAGGCAAATGGGGATATGCAAGCAGCAAAGCGAAATTGAAATGCGCTACCTACCCGTGATCTCAATATGTGGTTATGTTGACGTTAGAAAGATTTAAGCGTCAGAGTGGGCGCGGCAAACTTTTTTTTGGATCAATCGATAGGTATTGATGAGACCAATAAATCTCAGTTAACATTTTGTATCAAGCATGAATATTGTGGGCCCCACAGGTTTTTTTTAGATCAATCGATAGGTACTGAAGACACCAATACATTTCAGTTGTTTGTTGGCGTTAAAGTGGGCGATAATAACAATGCATTTTAGTTAACATTTTTATTCTAGCATCAAAACTGTTGGAGCCACAGTTATGGGCGTTAGAGTGGACGTGGCACATTTCTGAAACAAACTTGCGCTGCGCAGGAATCTCAGGAATCTGCATGCCTAACCCCAGTATTGTAGCTCTTATAGTTTCCGAGATCTCAGCGTATGGCTAGATCGACTCGGCTAGGGATTCTGATCAAGAATATATATACTTTATGGGGTCGGAAACGCTTCCTTCTGCCTGTTACATACTTTCCGACGAGTCTAGTATACCCTTTTACTCAACGAGTAACGGGTATAAAAAAATGTTCTTTATTTTTTAATCACCAAACGAAATTTTACATATAACGAAGCCATCTGGCTGCAAAATGGAGTTCGCCGGGCTTGCTAGTATTTCATATTTCTAAAATTGGCTTGATATACGCCTTTTTGTGAATTCCATTGGAACCCAAAAGTAGAGAGAAACCCGCTCTTACAGTACCCCCCAGACCGCTATATCAGATTACAGTCATGCCGTTCGGCTTGTGCAATGCGGCGCAGAGAACGTACCGACTAATGGATAAAGTCATACCGTCAGCGCTATGCGAACATGTAATCGTGTACCTGAAAGAATTGCTGGTCTGTTTACCTACATTTTAAGCTCACCTTGATATGTTGAGCCAGGTCAGTGCATGCTTGCAGCGTGCGAAACTAACAATAAACAAGTTTTGCTATAGTCAGGCCAGGTAACAAAGAGGATGCATCCGAACCGACGATTCAAAAATACAGTCGATACAGGAATTTCCCCAGACTATGCGTCGGCTCTTGGGCATGACTGACTGGTTTAGTAGGTTTATACAAAACTACGCCCAAACAGCGGCACCGCTTCACGATTGCTTAAAGAAAGACCGCGTTAATAAATGTAAATTGTCAGAAGAGGCAATTAATGCGATTTCACTACTACTAGCTAGGGATGGCGGTAGATGTGCAAAAAGTAGTGAAAGAGTGCGAGGTCTATAAGATCAGCAAGACGAACAACAAAAATAACCGACCACCCATGGAAGAACAGCGAGTCACGGAACGGGCTGGCCAGAGGTATGGGACCATATCCGAGGACCAAAGCTTGCTATTCGGTGATTTTTGTCTGCTATGATCACTTCTCCAAATTAATCTAGCTAAGCCGATGAGAGATGCAGTGTCCGCTGAGGTAATCAAATTCCTCGAAACAAAAATTTAACATCAGCACGGGAACGGAAAACAGTTTGTGTCTCAATGCCAAGCTAGGGCCGAATCGAATTCGCTGTGTTGTACTCCAGCTTAAAGGCAAAGTGCTATATGACCAGGGAAATGCAGTGGGAAGAAGTTTCGGGGATTTTCATGCCAAAGACGTGTATATCGCTTAATCCCCTAAACGTCATTCTACGACTCCAAAAGAACTGAGGATTGCACAAAAACGGCGCAGTCCCGATCACAGGATGGGTGGAACTTGGAATCAGACCGAGTTCTATTCCCCTATATAGGCTTCAACAAGATGCCGATACCTCACCAGACCCGATGCAGCCCCTCGAAAGGTACAACCAGATTGTTGAAGCTGCTCGCCAGCTTTGTAGACTTAGGTGAAGGTACCAGTATCTGGCGCATCTACCGGTATGGCTCAAAGGGCTCCAGAGGAGCTTTCAGCTGGACGAGGAGAGTATCCAGCAACGCCGGATACAACTCCTTACAGAAGCACAGTATAAAAGGGATGGGGATCCGCAATATAAGACGCGTCCGGAAACGGACGAATAATCAGAGGAGGGAGAGGAGACAGTTGATCCGAGTCTAGTAGCAGCTGACTACAACCCGGAGATCCACACCTACATCACACTAAGCTTTATGACCTTAGCATGTATCCTGAAACAGAATAATATGTTGCTGCAAAGGGGTCGTGCCGCTCGCACATCAACTTATAAATGTTCTGATATCGAATTTGTGACGAAAACTTCATATATTTTCGACTGAATAAATGCACTTTCTTAAATGTTTTCATTCTGCCCGATTCAAAAAAATATTTAAGCTTTTAAGCATAGGACTGCATATTTTATAAAGTAAGTGTAGTTAGACATCGAAAATTCAACCTACAACATTTTTCGGGCTATTAACAACTTAGTTATTACAAAAAGTTTTAGTCGATGACAAACTTGTAAATGTTATTCTTTTACTTAATAACGCATAGTTCTGGGCATTCAAGGTAAGCATGAAATGTTTTTCATACTAAACTGAAACGGTTTAAGCTTTTTATCAATTAATAACTTCCAAGCTGTACTTTTTATGGAAAAATTGTTATATATCCAAAACTGAGAAATCTTTAGGGCTATATAATTTGAAATTTAAAAAAAATTCGAACCATTTGACAAAATAGACAAAAAGTGGATAAAAAAATTTTATAACTTTAAATCTATTGTGTTAAGAGAATTTAACGAAAAGTTCTGTGATTAGCATATTTAATAACCTTATCAGCGACATATAGAATGTACCTAGTGCTTAGAAACTATAAGTTTATAGCGCGTTTTTGCATATAGTCCCCTAGACCCTTAAATAAAACCAATTCTTACACACCCACAAACAAAGAGAGAAACATTTTTATTTTGGAAAGTCGCCCACAACCTTGTTGTTGAATTGACAGTGACACAGCATTGAATTTTGTGTCGTTCGACGCGCATTCTCAATTAGAATATACCTTATGCAATAACCTGAGGCGTTCATCCCCATCAGCCCAACAGCTGGATTTTACACTTTTGCCGCTCCTTCTTCCAAACCAATTGATATTATTAAAGTCTTGGTATGCAATGTTTTTGTTTTTGCAATACCTTTATATTAGTGTATCACTCGTTATGATCGGAGAGATTTTCAATTCTGCACACTTTACTGGTGAGCGTTCGTCACTACGTATACTTCCGTCCACAGTGATATATGTATGTATGAATGTTTCCGTGCAAGGCCGGAAAGCTTTTTAGCCTGGTTTAAGGAACACAATAACGAAAGCTTTTCCTTGCAAATGTTCCACCTACCCGCGATCTCATTAAATGGTGGGCGGTAGACTGATTTAAGCGTTATGAGCGTTAGAGTGCGCATGGAAAACTTTTTTGGTTTGTGGGCGTTTGAGTGGGGGTGGCATATTCGCGTAGCAAACTTGCGCTGCGTACACGGCTACCAAATCTAAATCTTAAGACCCAATCGTCTATCTTTAATAGTTTCCGAGATATCCGCGTTCATATTTACGTTTTGTGGAGTTTGTGGGCGTTAAAGTGGGCGTGGCAAACTGTTTTTTCCGTCAATCGATAGGTATTGATGAGACCAATTCATTGCAGTTAAAATTTTTATTCTAGCATCAAAACTCCAGGAGCCACAGTTTTGGGCGGTTTGTGGGCGTTAGAGTGGGCGTGGCACAATTCTGAAACAAACTTGCGCTGCGCAGGAATCTGCTTGGCCAATCCCAGTACAGTAGCTCTTATAGTCTCCGAGATCTCAGCGTTCATACGGACAGACGGACATGGCTAGATCGACTCGGCTAGTGATCCTGATCAAGAATATATATACTTTAAGGGGGCCGGAAACGCTTCCTTCTGCCTGTTACATACTTTCCGACAAATCTAATATACCCTTTACTCTACGAGTAACGGGTATAACAAGGAAGAACCATAGAGTAAGAATCTATGTAGAGACACCATTTGCTCTGCCCAACCTCTGCTGAGAGCCAATTCAAGGTAAAGTTTGAAGCTTACTTCGATTTTTCAGCACACCCAACAAGTGCGAAGCAACAGCAATAGTGGTGTGGATTAAGTACAAAAACAAAACAGTGAGTAAGAGCGGTGCAGATATATAATTTCCATAAAACTCACCGCCGGAACGAATTACAAAGTCCCTTCGAACATTTTAAAAACTAGGGATATCATCTCTTTTCGCCTAGGTGGCATCATTGGCAAAGTCTCAAAAGAGAGCGGCAGAGCAATTTGTGTCTCTATTTAGATTATTACTCTATGGCAGAACGCTATAGTCGAGTACCTTGACTATCAGATACTCATTACTCAGTAGAGGTGTCAAAACATTGATGAAAACATCGATGCATCGATGTTTTTGAAATTTTCTAAATCATCGATGTTTTTTTTCAACCATCGATGTTTCTGTGCCGTAACTATTAAGAAAAAGGGCAAAGGAAAGGTACGTAAAAGAGCAGATTTTTTTTTCATTTTTTCTGTTATAATATTAAAGTTCTTCTTTTGCTGTTTTTCAGTAATAGAACATTCAATTGGTGCAGGCGACGGCGCTAAGATGGACAAATTCTTGATGCGTAAGTATTTTTAAAAGCAACTTACACTTAGTGACGCTTAGGTGACTGCACCCTGTTAGGTTTGGTTAAGAACTGAACCGAAGTGCTATATATATATATGTACTTAAATGCAATATTTATAATTTAGAATAAACAAAGGAAAACTGTGACGCTCCGTCTCCGAAGAGGAGAAGAGAAACATCTAGTGTTTGGCAGCACTTTAAAAAGGCAGCGGACAAGGCAAAGGCAATTTGTAACCACTGCGGAAAAACTTTGAAAACAGCAGGCAATACCACTAACTTGATGGATCACCTCAAGCACATCCATCCAAATTATAAAGAGGAGGAGAATACCCTAGATTACCCAAAGTTGGATGTGTTCCTGCACCGTAGTGTGGAGTATGCGCCAGATTCGCAACACAAGAAAATGCTGGATAAATACGTCATGCTTATGATAGCCAAAGACGTACAACCTTTTAGCATGGTTGCTGACGAAGGCTTTCTGGACCTTATGAAAAAGATGGACCCGAAATACAAACTGCCGAGCCGCAATTACTTCCGCGACGTAATGCTCCCCAAGTTGTACGACGAACTAAAAGAACACCTTAAAAGCGAACTTAACGAGGTCAATTACGTGCCAATCACAACAGACGGATGGACTTCCCTGGCGAATGAAGCATATGTATATAACCGTAACTTGCCATTTCGTAAACAAAAACTTTGAGCTGATTACAGCAGTTTTGTCAGCAGCAACACTTGCAACGCCCACTAACTTTAAAAATTTCTCCTGGCTAAACTAGCGCGTCCCCAAAATAATTTTTACATCAAAATTCATGATTCATCGCCCTCTAAATATGGATTTTTGTTAATTAGTCGGGTCGTTCCAGCCCGACTATTTAAAAATTACCAAAATTTAATTTTAATTTTTTAAAACATCGATGTTTCATCGATGTTTTGGGTGAAAAACATCGAAAACATCGATGTCTCAATACATCGATGTTTTGACACCTCTATTACTCAGTCTGATATTATTCGCTTTAGTAAGGGTATAGGTGCAGTGGCACGCGCCACCAGCGAAGAAAAAACAAAAGAAATCATGTAAAGGGGGTAGAGGAAGACTTGTTGCATTCTGTTTGAGTTATTGAAAGGGAAGCAAGCCATTTAAATTGTGCGCAGCAGATTTACTTTTTTCGTTCCTTAAAGTGAAAAAAAAGTCAGGTAAGTGTTACATTAAGTTTAAGATTTTGTGCATTGGACTTAGCTTAAAGTAGGCAAATTTTGAAGGTGTTTTATTGGTTCCGTTAGCCGAAAGTGAATGATAAAATAAAAATCCCCGATAGGGTTATACACAGCTCTAAAAGGTAAATATACAAATAAACAAGTAAAACGCATTTTTTAACCATATGCCGCGTACATTTTTTCAGGAGAGTTTCCTAAGGATTCGGAGGACCCGAACAAAGGTTTAAGGAAGGCGATGACCAATGTTAAAAGCAAATTAACGTAACATAAAACTAAGCTTACTAACAATAATTGTCCTATAACAGAAACCCCAAATAACACAATTTAGTTAAAATGATTTTAATAGTAAATAAAAATGTATGTATTATAAATTCTATATTTTCATAAGTAAATACTCATTGGAAAAATTCTACATTTCACAAGTGATTTCACGCGGTTCTTGTCACCGGCAGGTGACAGGCTACGATAAATGAACATAAAGGAACAAGTGAAACCCCGAGGGACTTCGGAAAATTTTCATTTGAGTTTTCACTTGTGAAAAAGCGGACATCACATACAATTGTCTATATGGAGTGTCACTTGTTCCTCACTCGTGCAAGGGGACATGTCCTGCGGTATTCACAAGGTGATTCACAAGTGAAACTTTTTTTTTTGGAACTGAAGGGTAGGTATTGACGAGACTAATACATTTCAGTTAAAATTTGGGCGGCTTGTGGGCTTTACGGTGGGCGTGGCAAACGTTTTTTTGGGTCAGTCGATAGGTATTGAGTACAACACATTTCAATTAAATTTTTTATTCTAGCATCAGAACTGTAGGCGCACAGTTTTGGGTGGTTTGTGGGCGATAGAGTGTGCGTTTCTGCTGGGACAAACTTGCGCTGCGCAAGAAGCTCAGGAATATTCATGCCAAAAGCCTAGCTCTTATAGTTTTCGAGATCTCAGCGTTCATCCGAACGGACGGACATGGCTAGATCGATATTAGCCGTAATGATCCTGATCAAGAATATATATTTTTTTATTATTACTTTATGGGGTCGGAAACGCTTCCCTCTGCCTGTTACATACCTTCCGACGAATCTAGTATACCCATTTACTCTACGAGCAACGGGTATAAAAATTAGTGCAGGCGTTAAAACATTTTTAACATTAATTTTATTTTTTTTTTATTCTTAAATCTTTTATGTTTAAGCACGGGTAGTTTTTTTAAAATTTTACGTTTCTAACAAATAATAACAAAATAATTTGACCGGCCAAATCCTGACACACGTGTTAAATTACTTAACGAATAGTATATGTACCATTTTCTAAAGGAAAATCTAAATTATGAAAAAATATTTTTTATGAAATCAGTTTGGTTTGTAAAAGAACGGCCGAAATACCTTTATAAGCAGCAAAATTGTATCCAATTTAAGGTGGTCATTGGTACGGGGAGCACAAGGTAACTAATAAAGCGCCAAAATGAAAATAAAGGCCCTATACTCGTATGTATAGAAATTTTCTCGGAAAGTCATATTATACAAAAATACTTTATTTTTCTAAAATGGATTGACCAACGATCAGTTTATGTTGTGGTCTTCTTCCTCTAATACCAATAATGATAATCGCGAGCTGCCTCGTGGCGGAGACTACTAGTATATTATGAAAAAACAAAATGAGCAGAAATATTTGCAAGTGTTAGTTTTATAGTTTGGCATTAAAATTCGTTTCTATAGCAAGCGTTATAAGATTTCAATAGCTACGTCTGACTTGGATACAGTTGTGCTCTTTTTCTTGTGTGCTAATCGTACTTTCGGTTTAAGCAATACTTTTTTTCTGAGGGCTCACAATTAGGAGTAACCTTTAAAGCAGGTATTGCGATACAGTTTCTTATAAAATTACACACACTCTGGACGTACTGTTTTGGGTACTTAGTGAAGATCTTTACGTGTTCGGCATCTTTGAAGCATACCGAAGATACCTTGATACCCTGATCGCGTCGAAGTCGAATAAACTTTTCAACATCTCTGTAGGGGATAACGACGTCACCTTTGGAGTACAGAAAGAGCTGTGGGTACTTATTGGTTTCGTTTTTCAGCTCGCAAAATGGACTCGAGCGTACCGGTGATGATTGCACAAATAGACTTTTAAAGGCAGAAGTTGATTCCTAAAATGATAGACAGGTAATAAGCCGATTGTCGCTTTTTATCAGATTTTACTCCACCCACCTCTACAAACCACATTATGCTGAGGGTGATGGTTATGACCAGTGCTGTCAGGCAGTTGCATGGCTTTCCCCTTCCATAGATGGCTGTGATTGCACGGTAAAGGCCGAGCATCCTTCGCTCTCCAGGAGCAGAGTCAAAAATGACGCCGCGAACTTGCAGTCGAGACTTGTGCTTAACTACAGCAAGGTTAATGTGTTGGTACAGGAAGGCTCCGCCATTAGAAAATATGTGAAATATCAGAGGATGTGCATCAAAATTCATATCCTGAATCAGTTTCAGGATTTTCTCTCCAATAGGGACCATTTCAGATCGTTTCCAAAACAAGGTGTCTACCGGAGCCGTGTACCGAACTGTTATAAGACTAGAAACAGCGTGTCATAAATAAGTAATAAATGCATCGGTGTATAAACCTAAATACTTACCCCCGGTCCTCATAAATTTTCGAGTATTTCATCAAATATCGATCCTGACAGCCTGCCCATCCCAGCAGCATTACGATGGGCACGTTTTTGTCCTTACTGTCGTTGGCGTTTGCAAGTACAAACTCGTTTTCAGAGGTAGGCTTGGGAAACTTTATGAAGTACTCTAACGTGTCCTCACGCTCTGGTGGGAGAGTCCTGGGTGAAGACTCAGGACCAGAGGTGTGCTTCGTGGCCTTCCCTGTCTCATACTCGGTTGCTGCGTCGTTAGCTTTTAGCCCATAAGAATTTGATGGCGATTTAGACATGTTGACCTCATAGTAGAACTAGGAACAATTTCATAATTAATATCTATATTTTTTAGGGTGGTTATGCAAAGACTACTACTACAATAGCTGATTTGAAACCGTATGTAATGTATTGATTTCTCGTCCGTCAAACTCTTTTAAATGTAACGTGTGCATTTTTTATGGTATTTGCTTTAGCACATTGATTTTTTAACGCAGCAGAAAACAAGAAAAACACGTTACGACTTTTCTCTGCTGACGACGTGCTCCAGTTGAATTGTCTGACGAAACGAACTTACCGCATTCCAGTGAAACCGTTAGACTTGAGACGTTTCCAGTTTATGTGCTCATCAATAGGTTAGCCATGCGCATTTCTTAAAAGAGTAAATTCTGTGTATGGGAAATTCAACATCAAACTGGGCACCTCCGCTTTGACTATATATATGTCGTGCTATTTAAGCCGTATAAAAAGTTCTTTGGTTTTGCAGTTTTCATACTCGTCACTAGTATATTAGATTTGTCTGAAAGTATGAAACAAATATAAGTATGTATATATCTTGGTCAGAATCACTAGCCAAGTCGATCTAACCATTTCCGTATCTTCGTCTCCGTCCGTATGAATGCTGAGGTCTCGGAAACTATAACAGCTAGAATGTTGGGACTTGGAATGTAGATTCTGAGGCTTCATGCGCAGCGCAATTTTGTTTCAGCAGCACGCCTACTCAAACGCCACAATCCGATTAAAACCATAGTTGAAGTCTTCCATATTTTCAAACAAAACCCCCACTTACGGCTTTTGGTAAAGTAATTAATCTTCTCTATAATTGATGTTTAAAACAAAAACTTCTGATATCAAGCAATAACACCTTTAACGAGGTAAAAATCTAGTGACGATCGCACCTTCAATAAACAAAAGATCTAATATCAATTGTTGTGTGGAAAATGTATTATACGATCTATTAAATATGTAGAAAAACTTTCTACATTTTTCTTATTCGACACGCTTGACCAAAATCAAACAGCTTAACACATGCATATAGAATTGCAGCGTGCCGAATGTAAAAAATGTAAAAAGTATATTTTTATCATCAAATATCAGAAGTTTTTGTTTTAAACATCAATCATAGAGAAGATTAATTACTTCTTTACCAAAAACCGTACAGTTCAACTTTCTTATATGGAACTGTTAAGAGCAATTTAAATGATTCCATGACCCTAAACCAGTGGTCGGCAGCGGCCTATCTAGTGAGCATAGGGAAGTGTTCTGCCCATCCTCTGCTCGCTCACGTATAACGTACATGATCGTGTGACTTCGGCATGGGTCTTCGGGTCATTTTTTTCTCAACTTCGGCTCGCTTTTTTGTTGCTGCGGCAGAGGATCTCAGTGCAAAGCAGAGAAACGTCTCGCTTCAGCACGCCGCGCGCAAACTTCGTGTTTGTTACACTCACACTAATGCAAGGCAAACTTGTGATGGTACGTGTGTGCCGACCACTGCCCAAAACCATTGTTTGGATACTCACGTACAAAATTCAACGTTGTCCAAAGTTGAGGAATCTCAAGGGCACTTATTGGGTTAACCCAAAATCAGTAAAAAATCTGTTTAAAAAACTTTTGCCCATAATTTTTAAACGGTGGTATTTAGACAAATCATGTTAGAATGGGGTACAAAAATTTCGAAATGCCTTTCTAACGACATATAGCACTATTAAGGTTGTACGAAATGTAGCTATGTATTTATTTATAGCTGTTTTCCCGTAAAACTAGCGGTTTTTTCCAAAAGTGGTAGAACTAAAGATTCTTATATAAAGCTGTTTAACAGCATATCCAATTTTAAGACATTAATATTTGGATACAAAAAATGTTAAGTTCTAAGGCAGTGTTAGATGTTCTGAACTGGTAAATGTGGCCATTCTTGTTGATTAATAACTTTGAAACGTGAATTTTTACAACAACGTGTCGTATGTCAAACGTTGAGGAATTTTAAGGGCTATATGTAAACTTTGAGGATTAACCCAAAATCGTTAGAGCCGTTTCTGAGAAATCTGAAACCAATCTGAAACAAGAAAGGAAGTTAACTTCGGCAAGCCGATGTTTGTATATCCTTGCAGTTATAATTATTTAATTTCAAAATACAAAAAATGATGTTCCCACTAGTATTAGAAAATATGTCAAGAAACACCGAAGCTATAATTTGTTTCATATTATATTCCCACCAATTTTCCGATCGTTCCTATGGCAGCTATATGATATAGTCGTCCGATTTTGATAAAATTAAATTCGAAATTCAGAACTAATTAAAAAATGGTATTTCCAAGCGTAGGAGGTTATATGTTAAAAAACACCAAAGTTATAATTAGTTTCATATTATTTTCCCACCAATTTTTCGATCGTTCCTATGGCTATATGACATAGTGGTCCGATTTTGATAAAATTTAATTAAAAACTCAAAACTAATTAAAAAATGTTATTTCCAAGCTTAGAAGATTATATGTTAAAAAACACCAAAGATATATTTTTCTTAAATTTATTTTTTACGATTATTCTTAGGTATATAGTTGTCCGATCCGGCTGTTTCTGACTTATATACTACCCACAAAAGATATACGATTTTTGGGAAAGTTTCAGCCCGATAGCTTTAAAACTGAGAGACTAGTTTGCGTAAAAATGGACGGACAGACGCCCAGACGGACATGGCTAGATCGAGTCGTCTAGTCATGCTGATCAAGAATATATATACTTCACTGCGTTTCAAACTTCTGACTGAAATCAATATACCCTCTGCAAGGGTATAAAAAAACTTTGCTTATACTTTTTTAACGGTGGTATTCAGAAAAATTATGTTAGAATGGCGTACAAAGTTTTTCGAAATACCGTCATATACCACAAGCCTGTAGCTTTAGTAGTTCAGAAGTTACGAATGCACATGTTATAACTGTAGAACTAAATTTTCTTATATTAGGCTTTTTAGCATCGTCTAGAATTTTCAGGTCCCTAAATTAACGTTTTGGGACAACTTGACAGACTGACGAACGAAATAAAATTTTCATATTGCGCTTCGTCAGTACGTGGATTGACGTCCACAGTGATTAAGGAAGGCCCCTTAAAAATGACAATTATATTCTGCTGCCTTTTTGCTTGACATGAAAATTTAAAAACAACAGAAACTCGGCTTTAAAGGCGCTTGGTAAGTATAAATTGGTACAATAAGCCCAAACTGCCCAAAAATTTCGTTTGTTTTATTTTATTTTTATACCCGTTACTCGTAGAGTTAAAGGGTATACTAGATTCGTCGGAAAGTATGTAACAGGCAGAAGGAAGCGTTTCCGACCCCATAAAGTATATATATTCTTGATCAGGATCACTCGCCGAGTCGATCTAGCCATGTCCGTCTGTCCGTCTGTCTGTCCGTCCGGATGAACGCTGAGATCTCGGAAACTATAAGAGCTAGGCTATTGAGATTTGGCGTGAGCTTTTTACTTCAGCAAAGTGCCACGCCCACTCTTACGCCCACAAACCGCCCAAAACTGTGGCTCCTACAGTTTCGGTGGCAGGAAAAAAATTGTAACTGAAATGTGTTGTTCTCATCAATACCTATCGATTGACCTAAAAAAAAGTTTGCCACGCCCACAATTTTCATGCTAGATTAAAAATTTTAACTGAAATGTATTGGTCTTGTCAATACCTATCGATTGATCAAAAGTTTTCCACGCCCACTCTAACGCCCATAACGCTTAAATCTGTCTACCGCCGGTAGGGGGCGCATTTTAATCGCGCTTTGCTGCTAGCATATCTCCATTTCCCTTTGGTCCCTTTAGCTGAGTAACGGGTATCTGATAGTCGCGGTACTCGACTATAGCGTTCTTCCTTGTTTCTTTTGAAATTCTCTGTTATAAATTTTGACAAAGTGGCATAAAAATGTGCTGTTCACAATCCCAATTCATACCAGCAAATAAATGCTTACTTTTTTGTTTCGGAAATACAGCCTTCCGAACCAAGTTCGAACATTTTTTTTTTATTCCTTGTCCATTGTTACGTTATGGCCTCCACATCTTGCTGTATCGATCTCTGCCTAAAATAGCCAAGACGTTAAGTTTGACAGCATCATAACGGAATATCACATGTACTATTAGAAGGGTATTTCATTGTTTAACCATTTTACAATACTAGTAGTGGTTACTTTCTATATTGGACATCGAATAAAAATAAGAATACAAAATACCCGACCGCGTGACCGATTAAAAAAAATTCTTTCAAGAACACACTTATATAGTTTAGCAGTTTAAAACTTATTATTCAAAGGGCAAAACTAATATCACATTACAAACTAATTTTGTTATTCTCAAACTGAAATCGCATTCCTATGTTTAAACAAATATATATGTTTCTAAAATAGTTTGACAGCTTTCCCTCACTTACTATAAAGATGAGCCCTTAAAACAAGAAAGGAAGTTAACTTCGGCAAGCCGAAGTTTGCATACCCTTGCAGCTATAATTATTAAATTTAATTTGAAATTCTTAAAAATACAAAAAACTACATTCCCAATAGTGTAAGAAAATATGTCAAAAAACACCGAAGCTATGATTTGTTCCATATTATTTTCCCAACAATTTCCCGATCGTTCCTATGGCAGCTATATGATATAGTCGTCCGATTTTGATAAAATTAAATTAGAAATTCATAACTAATTAAAATTTGTTATTTCCAAGCTTAGGAGGTTAAAACACCAAAGATTTAATTAAAAAAATGTTTTCTTCAGATTATTCCTATGGGAGCTATAAGATATAGTTGTCCGATCCGGCTGATCCCGACTTATATAATACCTGCAAAAGAAAGAAGACTTTTGGGAAAGTTTCAGCCCGATAGCTTTAAAACTGAGAGACTAGTTCGCGTAGAAACGGACGGACAGGCGGACAAACGAACAGACGGACAGACTGACATGGCTATAGCTGGGATCGGAAATGTCTCCTTCACTGCGTTGCAAGCCTCCAACTGAAATCATAATACCCTCTGCAAGGGTATAAAAATGGCAAGTAACTCCTGGAGCAAAAACGGCTTGACATAAACATCTAAATAAAAAACTGAAATTCGGAAATTATTAAAGAGCTTTCTAGGTATAAATTGGTACCTTAGGTAACGCCAAACAGTCCCAAAATTTCATTTGTGTTTTTTATTTAATTTATTTATTTTGCCATTTTTCTGTTATAAATTTTGAAAAGGTGCTTTTAAAATGTGCTGTTACCAATTCCAAGGCATACCCGCACATAACTGCATACATTTTTTTGGGAAATTAAGCCTTGTTTACCAAGTCCCCCAATTTTTTCCTATTCAGAAATGTCCATTGTGACGTCAAGTCCTTGCTGTATCCAAGCCGTATGTCCGCATACTAAGAAATGAGATTCGTTTAAATATAAATTCTTTATAGTACCCACTGATATCCTTTTGCTAAAAATCTTAAACAGCATTAACCCATTTTCTTTAAAGAGCAAAACTAATTTCAAATTTCAAGCTAATTTTGTTATAAGCAAATAGATTTACGGCTTTCCGTCAAACCTCTTCCCAACACCTATCTATCCTAATAATAAAACAGGCCCTTAAAAAACGGATATTGCTCCTGCAGCAAAAATGTCTTGACAAAAACTAAAACAAAAACAGAAACAAAAACGGAAATAGTTCAAAGACATCTGCTACCCCAAACTGCCCCAAAATTCCATTTTCT